ATCTGCTGTCCAACCATCTGTGTACCGACCCTCCAAGAATATGGTGAGCTAAATATTTTATGTAGGGCTGGCTGGTTAACTCAGTTGGTTAGTGTGCAGTCTTACAATGCCAAGGTCAAAGGTTTGGATGGATTCTAGTACTGGCCAGCCACCAATAAATAAATAAATAAATAAATAAATTTCAAAAATAAATAAATAAAATATTATGTATAGCTTAGTGCTAACATTAATTCAGTCTATCTGTGATTGTGCTGCAAAGACTTCGTTTTTTCCCTCCCTCCTTACCTCTCATTTGTGTCTTTCCCAGAATTGCCATGGAAACCTATATCCGGCAGAGGCAGCTGATCATGTCACCCTTGATAACCTCACATGTGATTGGAGAGAATGAGCCTCTCACTTCAGTCCTGAATAAAGTGATAGGAGCAAAGGATGTGAATCACAAAGGACAAGGTACACAGAGCAGGGAGGGGACCTTGGCGAGGTGGGGGTGGGGAGCTCATTCAGAGCTGGGTCCTTGGACTCTTGCCCTTTTATTATCTTTCTCCGATAGAAAATGGCCTTGGCTGGGAACCACCCACCTCAGGCGTTTAGTCCTGAAGAGGGCATAGAACTCACCCAGCAGTGAACTGCATCACAGTGGAAGCTGGAAATTCTGTGGAACCAATTTTTATCCCATGAGACTTTTGTCTGTCCTACATTGCTAATGTCCACTCTAAGTAAATGCACAAAGAAAAAGAGATTCAGGAATAATTATGTTCCACCCTCTGAATAAATTTCTCCCCTTAACATTTCCTAAAATTGAGTGGAGACCAAATTCATACAAGTGGATAGGTATTGATATAAAATAACAAGCAACCCAACAAAACTCTTTAGTTGTTTTTAGTACTTCCGTGTATCATTCTGTTGACGTAGTTTTAACTAAGAGAAGTTCTGCTTGCTGAACCTGCATTTTACATTTGAATAATACGGAAAATAGTGAAAATTTAAAAATTCGAATACCAAGATGATGATCATATTCGGATAATTCTGAAGATTGAGTCACTTTTTTTTCACTACCCCAATGTTGATTTTTGAAATGGAAACAATCAGAAAACACATTATTTTCACTATATTTAGTTTCTCTTGTATTCATAATTATGCTGAGTGGCAAAAATGTGAGGAATCAGTAAAGAATCTGAAAACAAATAACCAACATATTTCTGTTTTTTTGGAGCACTTAACCTAGAATATAATCTCAGTTGGAGTAGAAAACCCTTCCGCTAAATAGATTACTGTGGATATATAGTTTCTTTTTTTTTTTAACGTAATAACTTCGTATAGCATACA